CAGTCGGGCTTTGGAGAATGACAACAGGTCTTACCCAACCTGCTGGGAGTCAGTCTCAGGAAATGTTTCTGAGAACATCACGTCGTCCGTGTCTCCCAGCAGCCAGAGAATGACAGCCTTCCGGAATGAGCCAGAGCTGCCCTTTCTCCCTGTCGCTGGGCATTTTGTGTCTAGACTCTTCACAGAGGGTTTGAACGTCATGGAAGGTGGACTGTGGACAGTGTGGCCTTGGAGTGGGAACTGCGAGGGCATCCTCCAACTGGCTTCTGGTACCCAGGAGGACGCCCGGCTTCCTGCACGCGGCTGCTGTCTGCGCCACAAGCACGGGCCGCGCAGGCAGAGGCGCCCAGAGTCCTCGCAGCCCAGAGAACTGTTCTTCCGGACGTCCTCTGTCATTAATCAAAGGGATTCCTGTGCTGAGGGAAAGAACATGTCACCGAGGGCTGCTTACTCTGCTTTTCTGGTTATAAAAACAAGATTCTCACTGTATGTGAAAACTGGGAAAGTACCAAAAGATCTGGGGAGTGAATTGGAAGCTGCCCGTGGCCCAGTGTTCAGGTCTCAGTGCCCCCTCCTGGCTTGGGTCTGCACACTGTCTGCCGCCATCCCGTGCAGAAATGGAAGGCTGTTTTCTGGATAGCATCTGGAACTAGAAAGCTATTTTTTTTTTACCTCCCTATTCGTTTATAACTTTGTGGAAGAACCGTTTGCCATTGATATAAGTAAGCAACACGAAAATAAATACATGAGCAAATCCTCTCTCCTCCCCCTCGAGGGCTGCTCAGAGGGGTGCCAGGGAGAGCGGGGGTGAAGCGGCCACCCGTGGAACTCCGAGGGCCTGGCGCCCCACACCACTGCTGCGCTGCTCCGCCCCTGGGTCTCAGGACCTGTGGCGCTGCACTCTGGATGAACCAGGACATGGCCCGGCGCTGTCCCTCAGGCTCCGCCCCTCAGAAGGACAGCTGAGGTCCCCAGGCCCCCAGAGTTCAATTAGATGCTGTAGAGCCACATAGAGCCACCAGCTCAGGGACAAGCCAAAAAGCTGGGTTTTGGGCTTTTTTGGTCTTTCTTTTCCCCAGTACAACATTAAACAGATTTAAACCTCATCTTGTTTATGAAAACATCCCCTTCTGGTGTGCATGAGCAATGTGACTTCATTCTGCTTGTGGCTGTCCCTGTCTCACAGCTGATATGAAGTAGAAACCAGCCCTGAGCAAGGAAGGCCGGACACACCTGGTGTGTTTCAGGAGGTCGAGTTCAGATTCCCTGAGGGACTTCGGTGGTTATTTATTTATTTATTTGGTTACCAGGGATTGAACTCAGGGGCACTCAGCCACTGAGCCACATCCCCAGCCCTATTTTGTATTTTATTTAGACAGGGTCTCACTGAGTTGCTTAGTGCCTCGCTTTTGCTGAGACTGGCTTTTAACGCGGATCCTCCTGCCTCAGCCTCCTGGACATTGGGATTACAGGCATGTGCCATCCCACCCAGCTTGGTTTGCGTTTGTGTTGTTGTTGTGTGCATGGTTTTTCTTTCTTTGTTTTTGGTGATGCTAAGGACTGAAGACAGAGTGAGAGGTATGCTCCACACTCAGCTACACCCCCACCCTCCTAGGGCACCTTCCCCTCCTCAACCAGCCCCCAGCATCCATCCTGAACTGTCTCTGTGTTGTTGTAGGAATTTTATATAACAGGTAATTTGCTATAGCAAATTTGATATTACAGGTAATTTCCCTAAAGTGTCCAGGGATCCTGGTCAAGTCCTGAGTTCTAGTGGAGAGCTAGTCCAGGCTTAGCCAAGTCCCCTGGAGGAGTGTGGATCTCCTCTTCTCCCAAACCTTGGTGACTCAAGGACACCTGGGCCTCCAGGCTGGTCCAGGGTCAGTGGCATGCCCAGAGGAGGGCAGTGTTGTGTTGTGGTTCAGAGAGGAGGCATCTCCCGAAAGCTTATGAGAGAGACAATGCAAGAAAGTTTGGAGGTGGAGTGTTTGGATCATGAGAGCCTTAACTTCACCAGTGCATTGATCCACTGGAATGGATTAACTGGGTGGTAGCTGAAGTGGGTACGGTGTAGCTGGAGGAGATGGGTCATTGGAGGACTTTGGGGGTTATGTTCTGTCCTGGTGAGCAGAGTACCCTCTTTCTGTGATTCCTGTTGATATGCCCGGAGCTTCCTTCCTCCACCATGTGACAGGAAGACACCACAGCGTCTGCCAGCTGTCTTCCAGGATAGGCCTAGGCACCTGGGCCCCAGGAGCTATGGGAACCAAGCAAAAAAGTGGGGTCGCCTGCCTCCTCGGCCCAGGGGGGCACCTGCAAACTCCAAGCTTCCCAGTGCCACCTCCGATCCTGCCAGGGACTAGCTTGTTCCCAAGGGATGGAGAAAACGCTGAACCTGAGCTAAGGCCACTGCCGTCCACCTTGGGCTCCTCCCTGGACCCGAGGGCAAAGAAAAGATTAATGTCCTGGAAGCAGAAACAAAAACCCTGGTTCTGACGACCACATGGACTTCCTGTTGATGGGACACACGAGGGCGAGGAGGAGAGTGCCTGACGGTGACAATGTGGTGACAGTGCACGTGTGACCGTGGCACTAAGGCCTGACACAGGCAGGGCAATTAAGGACCAGCCTTTGGGGAGAAGTCTCTGTCCCGCACTAGGTGAGCAGCCAGGCAGGCAGAAGCACCAGGGTGGGCAGAGGGATCTGCACCAGTGGTAGAATGGGAAGGGGCGACCAGTAGGTAAGGCCCTGGGAGCAGGGCCACAGGGGGACACTGGTTTGTCCCACCTACATCTAGAGTCCTTGTAAAAAGTGTAGTACCGCCCCGCTGAGTGGTCCTGTGCAGGCTGGGCTGCCGAGGGCACAACCCAGGCCAGCTGCAGCCTCTGACCCCTCTGGCACCAGCTCCGCCCCCCCCCCCCATTTTCCTCTCCTGTTGCAGCAACAAGATCTGTCCAGCCTTTGAGGGGCGCCGCCCAGAGAGCCTGGCCCCAGTCAGACTGCGTGGCCCTCAGTGCTGCCCTGGGCTGCTGAGGACCCTCTCTGCCCTCCTCACAGGCTGAGAAGAGCAGGGAGGGGGACTCAGGCAGTGGGTCGGGGCGTATTCCGTGAGGCCCTGGTGGCCCTGGGGGGACGCTCTGCGTTGGCGTCCTTCAGGTTCCTGGGCCAGCTGTCCCTGCTGCTCCTAACTGGAGGCCTGAATCCCAGCCTGCCCAGGCCCACGGTTGGTGGGACGGGCTGAGAGCCTCTCCTCCTCCAGGGCTCCTTGGGCAGAAGGCAAGGAGCCCTGGGAGGAGCACAAACTCTCATCAGGCTCTGCAGGTTCTATCTGAGGGCTCAAAGGCTATAAAACATGCACGTTTCTCGTAGTTGGCATCTCCTTGACCTCCAGGGAGCTCGGCAGTCCCAGGTGGCGAGGGCAGAGCGAGGAGGAGGAGAAGCCAGGCTTGGAGGTGGCCGGAGGCGATGGGGAAGCTGGAGTGGGGCGCTGCACAGCCCCACTCCGCAGAAGCCTGTCTGGGCTGTGTGGTGCTCACTGTCACAGCAGTCTTGGGAGGGAGGAAGGACCCACGGTGACCCTTGACACCCCAGCTCCCAGAGCTTTTGGGACCGCCAGCATGACTCAGGTGCTCAGGTTGACGTTGGGCTTGCTGTCAATCACCTTGAAATGATGCTGACAATCTCATCTTAGGCTTGGCGGTTTTCATCGAAGGTTGTCCATCTTGTTTATTCACACTCGTTTCTGTGGCTCAGCCCTGCCCGTCCACTCATGTCCATATCGCCTGTTGTCGGGGTGACCTGAAATGGGCTCCTGGTTTCTGCCCTGTTTGTTTCAGATCTCAGTGGAGATAAAGTGAAAGCTTTAATTTCCTTCCTCTTTGGACTGAACGTCAGATGCATCTTGCTTCTTTTGCAGAGTTTTCTGTACAGCAATTTCCTGTGTCTCAAAAATCATAAAGTCGGAGCCAGGAGAACATTGGCCCTCACTCCAGAAGTCCTGGGACTGGGAGGACCTGCGTACCAGGAGCTCTGCTACCTGACCCTCCTCCCCAGCGCTACTCCGCACAACTCCTGGAACCACCTGGTTTGCAAAGGAGCCGCTGGAGGGCTGGGAGGGGTGGAGAGGGGGATTCTTACTAGCTGCTCCACCTTTCTGTGAATGAAAACTATTAAAAAATAAAGCTGTTAACGTTTTTAAAACCTCAGCCCTGGGAAGGAAGGCCACCTATTGTCATTCTGAGCACCCCGCTGAGCCAAGCCTCCACTGGGGGTCAGGCCTGTGTGGTGAATGGCGGCTTGTCGCCACCAGGGGGCGTCCTCCCAGGGCTCCCTCTCTCGGCTCCAGTCTTTCCCGGGAGGCGGCGAGGGGCGGTCCCTCGGCATTAGCCGGGTCAGGCTCTGGCTGCTTGGTCGTGGCCTGGGTGCAAGGCAGAGAATGCTCTGGGGGACTCCGGGCTGGAGTGGGCCGCTAGCTGGCAGTGCCTGGCCACCCATTCTGGCCGGCTTCGCCCCCTGCGCCTCTTCTCACCTCCGGGTCTGTCTGCAATTCCTTTGGTGTGTCGCCCCCCCCCCCCCACGTCCTCCCCATCCCCTCTGGAGGGTGGATCCAGTCTCACTATGGGGAAGGGGTACCTTTTTTGCCCTTGGCTCTCTCCCTGGGGGCCCATTTGTACCCATCCCACCTGCCACACACTGTCCCCAAGGCAAACCTCCCCATCTGAAGGGAGGGATTAAAAACTCCAAAATGCTGTGGAGGAGAAGGAGACTCAGATCACCAAGAGATGAGGATCATAGATGAGAGATCATCACAGTTATGGTGGCGGCTTTGCTAGAGCAGGAGCTGTCCAGTCCGCAGATGTAGAGGGCCAGCGATTCCACGTGGGAGCTGCAGGACTGAGCAGCCAGGCCCAGGGGGTGGGGGGGTGGGGATGACTGGGAAAAGCAGCTCGCTGATGCCTGAGATCTCATGACAATTGAAACTCAAATGCGTGACATGACAAGTGGGGGTTAAGTGTTCAGCCTTGAGTAGGGTTGAGTGTTCAGATTTGAGGCAAACAAGTGATTAGGAGCCAGACGGGTGAGGGTCGAGTGTTCAGCCCACCCTGCAGCTAACATTTGTTCAGCCTGCTCTTCAACTAACAGGTGACACCAAAGTCTGCCACCATCTCGAGCAGTAGCCAAGCCTCGAGGACCATGGCTGCAGGAGCCTCTGAGTGCTGGACATCTGAGCCTGGTGAAATAGCTTCCTAGGCCCCTCTGTGCCAGTGGTTGTACCCCACTGGTCTCTTCTCAAAAAAATCTTTCCTTTTACACCCTTGAGCCTGAGATGTGGTCTTGCCAATTCCGGAGATGCCCTCAAGCCGTATTTCCTACTCTCTCTGGTCAAAGTCTTTAGCAGCATCTCTGTAGTGGCTGTATTATCTTTAACAATCACAGCTTCCTTAGCCCTTGGTTTATTCACAGTTTTCTGGCCACACTGCAAGTTTTTCATATCTTTCTGCTTTGCTTTCTGCTCCTGATTATCAAAGTAAACTTGGCTAAAAGCTGCCAGCAATATCCATGCCACCACCTGAATGCTTTGCTGCCTAAAATTTTCTTTTGCCAGATTAAGAAGTCCATCACCTTTAAATTCAGCCTCACAGGAAATCTCAGCACAAGGGCAGAACACAGACAAACCTCTTGGAACACAACATGAATCGACTGTAGTCAGTTTCCAGGAGAGTTGTCCCTCTCCTCTGAAACTGCAGTCGCGGCCACTTTATGCTTTGCTGCTCTGCCACTGTGATTTGTGTTTAAAACGGACACATTTCTTTCTCCTCCTCTCTCCTCCCTAATCTCTCCCCCTCCCTAATCTCAGGAAAACGGGATTACCTTTCTTCCCCATTCTAGGCAGAGTTATCTGTCCCTGAGCACTCACCCAAGTAATCCAGACCTTGGGGACAGCACCAGAAGCTCTCAGAAACTACCTCCCAAATTAACAAGTGAATTGCAACTCCAACAGAGAGCACTTGGAATGTAGATTTTGAGTCACCTCTTTAACAGCCCCCTGTCCCTGCTGATGGGCAGAATCACAGCCTCTGGGACAGGAGTCCCCTGTGTTTCTTTCTCCTTTGCTAGCAAAGCAATAAACCTCTTTTTTCTCTTTCTCAAAACCATGTTCTTGTTATTGGATTGGCAACAGGGACAAGGACAGAACTTTCAGTAACAAAACCACATGATCCCAATCTTTACTGGGCACAGTCCTGTTGGCAATCTAGTCTTCTAACTCCCACCAGAATCGCCCATTCCGTTAACATCAGCTTACAACACTCTAAAGCCTTTCCGGTTTGCACTGCTAAAATTTCCAAAATCCTGCCATAAATTCCAAAAACTCCAAAAGCTTCTAAACCATACGGTCAGTTTTGAAAGAAAAGTGAGAAAGCGAGAGACGGGGGCGAGCGAGAATTGAAGGACGGAGACCAGGCAGAGAGCCACATGGAATTTTAAAGGCCATCCCTCTGTAGAGAGGCCCGAGGCCCGAGTGGTTCCGGTGTCAGCTTTTGTGGAGAAGGGAGCTGCAGCTGAGGCACCATGGGATAGGCTGGGGTGCTTTCCTCAGAGCTAGGCGGGTGGCAATAGCAGGGGATGGGCTTAGGTCCGTGGCACCGTGGGGCTTTCCAGAGTCAAGGGTTGAGGGGTTGTGTCCTTCTGGGACTGGCTTAGGGCTATGGTACCATGGGGTAGGTCACTAATGGGGGTGGGGAGTTGGGGTAAGAGGAAGTACAGGAAAGTGAAGCTCATTTTGTAAGATGGTGGTCAACATCTAAGCTGGCTGCTCAGATGTTAAGTCAAGACGCTATACGTTTAGTCACAGCAATGAACCTACTTTTCAGTACCAATTTCTAGTTTAATTGGCGTTTTCATGGCTGGGCCCAAAAGACCTGACAAGAACAATTAGAGGAGAAAAGGTTATTTGGAGCTCCTGGTTTCCGAGGTCTCAGTCCACAGATGGCTGGCTGCGCTGCTCTGGATTGGCAACAGGGTGAGGTGAGGCAGAGCGCCCTGGGGAGGCTGTGGTGGAGGGGAGAGGCTCAGCACATGGCCCCAGGAGTCAGAGAGAGCTCGGCTCAACAAGGACAAGAACTGCAAACCTCCAAGTCTCTCCTCCAGCCACACACTACCTGCCTACAGCTACCACCCGGTTAACCTCTATCTGAGGACTAACACACTGATTGGGTTGAGGCTCTCATGACCCAACCTCTAAACTTTCTTGCATTGTCTCCCACATGAGTTTTGGGGGAACACCTCATATCTAAAACCTAACACCCCCTCTCCAGTGGCTTCCTGGGAGAAACCATGCTCCGTGTTCATGGTGGCGCCACAGAGGTTGACAAGGTGTCAGCTGTGTGGGGGCCTCAGAGCGCAGCCCCTTCACTTTCAGTAATGTGGTCTTTTCCTGGAATCACATGGCTTGCCTCTGTGTTTCTGTGAGTGGCAGTTAACTGTCAGCATCTACGAGAAAGTGTACAGGAGAAGATCAGCCCGCTTTCTTGAGCATCAGAGAACCCCTGTGCCTCCCCCGTGCTGGCTGTAGAACCTTCTGCTTCCTATGATTCTACTGGATCGAAGTGCAGGTGAGGGGTGCGTGGAGGGAGAGTGGCCCACGGCGCAGCCTCACCATCCCACCTGGGCAGGGCAGGTAATTGGCCAGAGGAAAGACTTAGGCCACATGAGGCCTCTCACCTTCAGAGAGAATTTGTATAGATGACAGTTTCCTGACTCCAGATGTGAGAATGTGTCTGTTTCATTTACTCAGAAAAATTATCCGACTTCCGTGCCCACACCAGATAAAAACAGCTTCCTAAGAACAGACCAATCTTTGGGAGCTGGAGGTTGGCAGGCCTGGAAAACTGCTCTGGGGGACCTTCCAAGGCATGCTCAAGGGCACCACTGTTCTTGCTTACTTTCATGGAAATACACACATAAATCATATTTTCAAAATGTCACTCAAGTTCATACTGCAAAACACCCGAATGTTTTATGGAAACAGAAACTCTTTTGAGGGCCACAGCCGAGTCGGGATGACGCATGGCATTTTTGCCAGAAGTAGTGGTTGAGAGGTGACGCCAGCGAGCCATTAAGATGACGACTTTTGAATTCTCGCGGAGTTCCCGCTGAGATCCGGTTGAGCTCTCGCGGGGATTCCTGAAGAGTTCGCATTGGTTGGGGAAATACCAGAGCAGGGATTTCCAGTTGGTGGTTCCTGGAGGAGCCGCGTGGCGTTCGGGAGAGTTCCTGGGGAGCGTGTGTGGAGTGTGCTGGTGGAGTTCAGAAATAAAGTTTGTTCCTCTTAAGTGGCTCGTGATTTGTGCCCAGCCAGACTGCGGCAAAACTCAGAAGATTTATTGCGTGTAATTAAACAACACAAATCTACATTTTATCTCATTAATATGGAGGTTGGCTGAAGTTCAGAAATTTCTAGACAGAAGTGCCAGAAAGGATGTGTTTTATCTTTATTAGCCTCTTTATTTTAGAGCAATTTGGGTGTGTACAACCGTGCAGGTGACACAGAGCGTGGCTGCAGAGCCTGTGCCCATTTCCCCTCATTAGTGTCTCATATTAGATGGCACATTTGTGACAACATAGGAGCCGATTTCAATGCATCCGTATCAGCTGAAGCCCTCAGTCTCTGGCTGATGCCTCAGGTCCTCTGCAGGAGCTCATCCAGGACCCTGCCCTGCATTTAGCCACCACGTCTCCCTGGCTTCTCCCTGGCTTCTCCCTGACTTGAAGGAGGGCTGGCCAGATATTTTGTAGACAGTCCCTTGATTGGGATTGTCTGGTGATTTTGTTTTGATTAGACTTTTACTGCAGGGTTTGGAAAGAAGACCCAACACACAAAGCACTGTTTTTGACATCGCATCAAATTTGCGTGCTAGTCCCTGCAGGTTTGCAGCTTCATCACCTGGTGATTGTGGAGTTACTCTTCCCCTCGTTAGAAGGGAATGTTGGTCGTTTCTTCCTGTGGACGTGGTCTTCAGGGTCCTGGGACTCACACGGTGGGCAGTTCTGCTTATGACCAGTTTCAGTCAGCTCTCTCCTCACTGTGAACAAAGACCTGAAAAGAACAATTTAGGGATGGAAAGTTTACTTGGCTCACAGTTTCTGAGGTTCAGTCCATAGACAGCCAGGTCCTGGCTGTGGGCCTGAGGTCAGGCAGAGCACCATGGCAGCGGGCGTTGCAAAGGACAGCAGCTGGGGACATGGCACCAGGAAGCAGAGAGACTGAGTGTGGCTCACAGGGATGATATATCCAGGAACCTATCCCCAAGCCACACCCCACCTGCCTACAGCTACCATCCAGTTAATCCCATCAGGGAATCAATGCACTGATTGGTTTAGACTCTCATAACCCATCATCTCACCTCTAAACTTTCTTGCATTATTTCATACATGAGATTTTGGGGGACACCTCCCACCTAAACCACAACTTGACATGACATAGTGTCCCACCCCCTGGAAGCCCAAAGCAATGAATCAGGAGACCAGTGCTGAACTGCTGATGCAGGAGGATGAGCCCTGGGTAAAGCAGGAGCTGCCCTGTCTCCGCTGCGTCTAGCTGTGGCCGTAGTGGAGGCAGCCACTTCTGCCCAGTCCTTGGTGAGGTGCATAAAGGAAACACACAGGAAGGATACCTGAGGGCTCCAAGGAGCTGTTCAGGCTGTGGGCATAAAGCCAATGCCCAGCCCATGACGACCAGCAGGGGGCAGCAGACGGAAGGCCTCAGGAGAACTGCACTGCGGCCGGTTCCCAGGAATCCGAGCAAGAATGTCTCCGAACACTTTGGGTCTCAGCATCCTTGTGGGTAAAACTGGACAACCCCCCTCTGTCTGCCTCAAATGATGTGAGAATCAAATGTTAACATGGTAAAACATTTTACTAGGAAGAGATAAATATCATTTGAAATTGCACATTATTTGAAATTTCACAATGAAGTTTTGCAGTGCCCCCAAATGAATTAAGATGGCACATTTGGAGCCGGAGGTTGGCAGGCCTGGAAAACTGCTCTGGGGGATCTTCCAAGGCATGCTCAAGGGCACCACGTGCAAGAGGCAAGCCATGTGATTCCAGGAAAACACCACATTACCTTCTAGGTCTCAAGTTGTTTTTGTGTGTTGTTTTTATGTTGTTAATGATATGAAATTTTATTCAGAATTTTGAAATTATATCTATTCCTTCTTTAGCATTTTTTTCAGGATTAAACCCATTATTTTAAATAGTTTAAGCAAGTGAGGACTGTATTTCTGCAGATGTTTAAGTCCTCTTTGTGTGAAGTGGTTGAACTGCACACTGTCCCCAACCCTGCTTCAGCATTCTTCATACTGCTCAGCTTTCTGCTGGTCGGGTGGGAGGCTGTGGCGGGGAGTCTGCCTCCTCTCAGCTGGGCACAGGTGGCTCGGTGGTACAGAGAGGGTCAGGTGCTCATCAGCAGCCCCCAGTGACCTCACTCAGAGGATACCCAGGCCCTGGGGTCTGCTCAGGAGGGCGCTGTGCTCACCTCCTGCCCACACTCCTGACACAGGACATCTGTCTGGTGTATCTGAGCAACTCTGCCACTGGATAATAAGATGACAAGCCAATGGAACCTGGCCGAGGGTTTGGATGGATCCTGCATCAAGGAGGATGCATAAATGGCAGGCAAGCAAACAAAAAGGTACTCAGAGAAAGATTGTTACCCAAGAAAGAAAAGCACACCTGCGGGAATGGCCAAATGCAAAAGGCTAGGAGTTGGAGAGGCTGTGGAGTGGCTTGTCACCCATCACTGGTGGAAATGCACAACAGTTTCATGTCTTCTTGGAACCAAACATGCCTTCCACATGACTAGCCACTCTCCTAGGAATTTACCTAAGAGAAACAGAGCACCCATCCCCACAGGGACTCAGCACAGGTGTTCACAGCAGCTTCATCTGTAGTCAGGGCTGGTGCCTGGCTAGGGCCAGAGGGTCACTGCACTTAGGAAGGTCTGAGGGTGAGGGCATACTTGAGTGGGCACTCAGGTGCCTCGTGGGCTCACCCTCTTCTGGGACCTATCTACAATTGCCGAAGCCTGAATACAGCCTGTGTTCATCAGCATGTGGGTGGATATGCAAATCATGGGGTGCACACACCTCTTCTGTAGCAACACGGAATGAGATATCGATTCACACAACAACACGGATGAGTCTGAAAATAATTTTTCAGGGTGAAAGAAATCAGACAAACAAGATATATAGTGTATCCTCCCACTTGTATAAAATGCTAGATGAAATCTAATCTGTGCTGACTGAAAGAAGATGAGTGGTCTCCTGGACTGCAGAGCAGGGTGCAGGAGGGAGGAGGACAGCAGGAGGAGAGAATATCTGTGGGTGGCAGGAGACGTGCAGACCTTGGCGGGCGACGGTCTCACGTCTGTATACCCGTGCTGACACCTGAACTGCCCTCGGTATGTGCGGATGAATGTAGGTCAATGACAGCTCACGGAAGCTGCTAAAAATAAAATAAGATTGAAAACAATTTAAAGAAGAAACCCTTCATGGATTCTAACTGGAAAAATGAGACATGGTAGAGACCATAGAAAAAACCAAATGTGGGCTAGATATTAATAATATTAGGAGTTTATTGGTATGTTTTAAAGTAATAGTGTTGTAAAAGTGAAACAAAATTCCAGTGTTAGGAAATTCATACTGAAGGAGCAAGATTGAAAGGCGAGTGACTCACCCGAGACAGAAATTCAACCAAGATATTTTATTGGGGGGTGGGCGCTGCCCGAAGGGGAAGAAAGGAGAGGGAGAGAGCAGAGAGAGGGAGCCTGCAAGCCTCAGCTCAAGAAGGGTTGCTCAGGTGACATGGCAGGTGCTGATTGGCAGGGTGACTAGGAACGGCAAGGGGACATGTCTCCTGGGGATTGGTCGAGAAAACTTTTGACTTTGGCGCCCTTGGTCTTGGTGCCCTTCCGAAAGGAAGGGGAGGGGTAGAGGATTACGTGAGGTGATGTTATTCTCACGAGATGGAAACTTAACTTCAGCGGGGCCAAACCTGATGGGGGAAATAAAACCAAAAGGCAAGGTCTCCCACACACCCAACAAGGATGATATGATGTCTGGGATTTATTTTAAATAGTTCAACAAAATAATCCATAGAACAATGAGTAGATAAAGCAAGTATGGCAAAAATATCAAGAACTGTTGGATCTAGGGGTCCATTCTATTGTTTTTCTAACTTTTTTTGTATGCTTGATAGTTTTATAAATAGAAATCTAAAAAATTGATCAAGTATATTTGAAAAGAATCAGATTAAAAAAGAAAAATATTTGAATTATCAAATTTAATGGATATATTTAACTAGATACTACAGAAGACAAAATTAATGAACACTTCTATAGAAACTTACCATAATGTAGAGAGAGAAAGAGAGAAATAAGAATTAGGAGTATGGAGACTAAGGCGAAGGCCTATCCTATATGGGCCAATTCCAGAAGAAAGAGGGAGGAAGGTGCCAAGAGAGATGTGCAGAAACTATTTCTAAGAGGGATTCCTGAGAACGAATTCTGAGAACTGCCAAGGAATCCCCGAGAGCAGGAAGGATTTAAGCCCCAATCAGGCACACCAGCAATCTGCTGGTCACCAAGGGCGGGAGGGAGGAGGGAGGAGGTCTCCAAGGGAACAGACCTGATTGCTGACAACCATCTGCAGCAGGAGCCAAGTACAAGTAGGATGTCATCAGTGGGTTGAAAGAAAAAGTCTGTAAACTTGAATACTAACGCCAGAAAAATACTTTAAGCCAAGTGAAGACATATTCAGGTAAACAAAAAAAATTACAGTTCTGCCACCAGATAGCCTCTCCAAGAGAACTCCTCAGAAATGTTTAGGGCGTGGCAGGAAATGATCCCAGGCAGAGTCAGATCAATAGGAGTGGAGAACAAGCACCCCAGCAAACCAGGAGTCCAACCGAAATCAATGAGGCTATGTAAAGCACCCCCTTCTGCAGTTCAGAGCCACAGGGTTAAAACAGGACAGCAAGAGCCCAGCAAAACCCAGGAAGGGTAAAAGAGATCAATTAACACCAGACTCTCCAGAGCATGAAGAAGCTTCTCCGTGAAGCTTGTAAGGTGCCCTTCAAACTAGTGAAGGGGGAAAAGCAAAATGACAAAACAAAGTCCAATCAAAAGAAGACAAGAATGTAAGGGAGAATAAATTTCTAATGTGGGACAAACAGAAATCATGAAATAATGTAATAGCTGTGATATTTTCACACTGTGCTTTTAAAATCAGAAGACAAGTATAATAAAACTCTGCATTATGTCATAATGAAAAAAAGTTGATGGATATAACCCATAGGCCCATAAAAATAAATAAATTATGATATAGTCAACAATGAAAATAAGCAAACCATGGCCACATGCTTCAGCATCAATGAATCTCATACACACAACACTGAGCAAAAAAGCACAATACAAAAGAAATCATATGAACTTTAATGAAAGTTCAAATACAGGAGCAATGATGCATTGATTTAAGAATATCTGAATCAACTCTAAGCCACAGAGGAAAGGCCAGGCAGGAGAGCAGCACTCCAGAGGAGCAGCATGTGGGAAGGACTCCTGGAGACATGGAGGGTGGTCTGGGGAGAAGCATTTATGTGGCATACAGGACGTGGCCTAACACAATAGCATCTCTCCTGGTGGTGGTGCCAGGAAGGGCATGTTTTGAGCTGTTTTGCATTCATTAGGAATTCACTTTTAAAACAAAAAATAGCAATTAAGAAATGAAAGACAAAGCTGCTGCGCATGGTAGTGCATACCTGTAATTCCAGAAACTCAGGAGGCTGAGGCAAGATCGTGAATTCAAAGCCAACCTCACAACTTAGTGAGACCCCTGTCTCAAAATAAAAAATAAAAGGGCTGGGGAGGTGGCTCAGTGGTTAAGTGCCCCTGGGTTCAATCCCCAGCACAAAAATAAAAAAAGACAGAAAAGGCAGCCCTCCAATGAACCTCACGCCCTCCACTAAAGAGGGTCTAGAAAATCACTGAGGTTCAGGTGAGGGCAGGAGGAGGGGCCCAGGAGCCAGGCTTCTGGGAGACTGGTCAGGAAGGAGTTGGGTGGTAGACACCACCTAAGGTGTCTACCTTACCTGTCAGGAGAGCACTCAGGAAATATCCCAGGCAGGGGGCTGGGGATGTGGCTCAAGCGGTAGCGCACTCGCCTGGCGTGCATGGGGCCCAGGTTGGATCCTCAGCACCACATACAAACAAAGATGTTGTGTCCGCCAAAAACTGAAAAATAAATATTAAAAAAAAATTTCTCTCTCCCTCTCTCTCTCTCTCTCTCTCTCTCTCTCTTATAAAAAAAGATATTTAAAAAAGTATCCCAGGCAGGGGTGACATTGGGGCCTGGCTGTTGTTCAGGGTTCCGGAAGGATCTACCTGAAGAGAATTTGGAATAGTGATCCATTTTATGCTTTGAATATAGTAGCCCTTGCTCTGCCACTGCAACTTATTTTTAAAATGGACATGTCTCTGTATTTTCCTCTTTTCCCCTCCTCCCTAATCTCAGGGATTGCCTTTTTGCCCATCCTAGGCAGAGTCACCTGTCCTTGAGCACACACCCACCACAGAAACAAAGTAGTCCAGACTTGGGGACAGCACCAGAAACTCTCAAAAATGTAATCTCCCAGATTAACAAGTGAAATTACAGCTCCAACAGAGAGCATGTGGAATGTAGCCTTTGAGTCAACCCCTTTAAAAGCCCCCTGTTCCTGCTGATGAGCAGAATCACAGCCTCTGGGACAGGAGTCCCTGTGTTTCTCCTTTGCTAGCAAAGCAATAAACCCTTTTTCCTTCCTTATTAGATTG